CTTGTATGTTTACCTTCTGACACGAATATGTTTAAGTTTTTTGTTAATTTTGTAAAAACGAACATCACTCATACAACTTAGGACTTGTATGTTTACCTTCTGACACGAATATGTTTAAGTTTTTTGTTAATTTTGTAAAAACGAACAAACTAAGCATCACAAGGGTTAATTTGACTTTTGCAAAATAGAACGAGCTTTTTCCTCCAACTCGATGTGATGAGTCTCAAATGTCACGTATTTCAAATCTTTATAATTAAAGTCAAAGACATGGATATATTTGCAAAATATATCCAACAATCTTGACTTTTTCTCAATGGTAATATTTGGATCAAACTTGAGGATGGAAAGTATTCAACACACCTCCTCTTTGATCATCTACACTTCGTCATGATATTTCTTCAACCCCGGTCTAAGAAGCAATTCCATGGCAGCAACAACTTGAACTCGTAAATTATCATCAGAAGAGTCATCTAATAATATTTCTTGATCAGAATTTGACATGTCCATGTCAATTTCTGAAAAACTACCTCTTCTCGCTCTCAGATTTTCAATATTTGTAGTCGATCTATTTGAGTCGGTAGTGGAACTTTATACTCTTGTCAAAGGGACCTTAACTTGATGGTTCTCTAAACCTATATGCAGGTAGACCTTATTCCATCAATCAGTATCTTCACCACCCTCAACTAAAAACATTACAACAACAAATTATAACTAGCTTCCTTTAGTACTTGCAAAGAAAGAAAGGTTTGAACTCACTTCACACTCACCACAACTTTGTCAATCTCACAAAGTGGTCTTACCTTTTGTTTGTTGACCATATTAATAATTATACTAGAAGATCGTGAAAGTCATATTCCTAATTTCATTAACAATCTTTCAAAGATTGCATTCACAACAGAGCTATCATCTATCAACACGTCCGACAGATCATGTCCATTGATTCTTTCTTCAATCTTAGAAGCATGTGTATATACCTCTGAAGCAGTAATATCCATCACACAAACTCTCACATTTGTCATGTGAAATTTTCTCTTGGATTTTCGTTTCTTGGTCTTTTTGGAGCTAAAGCATACTCTCAATTCATTCCGTATAGTTGGATTTAAAGCAATTAGTTGATCAAGTGTTATATTAGCTTTTTTTACTTCCTACATTCTCTAGCATGCCATACTTAGCTTGAGAAGATGTAATGAAAAGTCATTCATGCCCAACTTCTTTTTGGTACTCTTGGTTGACTCATTCGACTTGACCATGTACTATGATTTGGCATGTGATTCATGAAAATCCACCCATCCACAAATCAGGCGCTTTGCTTCTCATGTGCCAAAATATCCACTTTTGACTTGGAGATTTGAGACAACTTCACTTTTGATTCTCTTACGTTTGAATCTAATGAGATCATAACATCCAAGCCTTGAGTTATTATGGATAACCTAAACTTCTAACTCCCTTGTTCACTCATTTTTCAATAAAGTAAAATTACTCAAAAGATCTCTACCAAAAACGCTCTCTACGTGATTAAAATTGTAAATAAGTAAATTCAAAAATTTTACTCTACTTTCCTGGTTTTGTACCCCTTAAATTTTAAAAAATAACATAATTTTGTGATTAAATGTGATCTCTTGGTGAAATTTTTTTTGACACATATGTTATTTTTCAATACACATTCGTACAAAATTTAAAAGTTTAATTTCAAAAGTATATCGTGATAATGACTAATAAGCTTTAAAATTTACATTCACTTTACATTATTACATTTTTTTATCAATATTATGTAAATTTAAAACATATGTATTCAAATTGTCAATGTATTTTAATCTCACTTTACTTCATCTTGAAGTTCATAAGCTTAAAGTCATAGTTTCATGCTTCATGACATTAAATTTAAATTATAATATTATGCAATTATAATATATAACTATCTTGTGCAAGTCATTTAATTCATCTTTTGACATCAAATACATTCAATTCTGAGATTTTTTAATATTAATTCACCAGTTAGTTTTCAATATGCATTTTACCTTATGTTACTAGAAAAATATATATTGAAGATTTTGTTTGTACTTTACAATGACAAATTTAGCAACACTTTCATGCTTGTCATCTTGTTATATACTATTTTTTTAATCTATTTGAATTCAAAAATCAAAAATCTATTGTCATAAGCTTCAGAACTCTTCTTCTGAATTTGATATTAAATTTGAACTCAAACTAATGTGGCTCGCTTGAAAGCATATCAAGTTGAAAAGCATATCAATTCTCTCACCATATTAATTTTTTCAAATCTAAACTTGATTCAAAATTCTACCAAACACTTCTCTACTATTTTTTTGAATTTGATGCAAATTAGATATGATACAAACCCAAATTTATAATCTAAACTGAAAACCATAGCAAAGCAAATAAAAAATTAGCAAAGTGATAGATTGGTTGATGGAGAATCTTTGAGTCATCTACTTTTGAAGTTAACAAGAGCAAAGATGAAACTGACGCAAGCTGAAGCTAAAACCATAGCCATCAAATTTGTAGATACTTTTGAAGATAGAGAAAATGGAGCTAGATGAATTGGCTTTGAGATGCATACTAGGATGAAAATTTGAAGAGGAACAATACAGAGGTATTTTGTGTGATGGATCGTGGTTGCATGCTCAATATGATCAAATAAGTTAATAATGTTAAAGAATTTATCAAGATTGTGCCACCATTTGAGAAGAAAAAAGAAAACAAGCGGAGCAAGTTTTGAATGATGGACATGAAATTTTGACTTTGGAAGAGAAAGATGGCAAGTTAAAGGAGTAAATTGGAGGATTTGAAAAACGTTGTGGAGAAAAGTTATAGAAAGTAGTGTAATAGTGTAGTATTTAGTCTCTAACCTAGTTATGCAACTTGAACCTGGAAGTATTGTGCATACTTAGCGGAATCACTAAGCGTATGATTTGGCTACAATGTCAAAAATCCAATTAGGGTACGCTTCAATAGTTCCCAACGATGCGATTATCATATAGAAGTTGAGGAGGGGATGCTCCCTGTAATAAAGCTCTAGCGTGCAAATATGATGTTACCTATCAAAAAAATGTATAACAAACGGAAGCAAATCTAAGCTAAATTCTAAACAAAGGCAAAAATTGATGTGATGCTATTGGAATTGCATACAAAAATCTAATTCGTCTACTATATGCTACAAGTTATATCAAAAAAGCTTGACATCTAGTCACCAAGTTATATAAAGAATGCGGAATGCAAAAATAATGATATTTGAATCCAAAGAGAAGCAATGAAGAAGATAAGAGATTAAGTGATAGAAGATGTGCAAGCTATTGCAACTTTTAATCTTTTTGTTGGACATGAAGAATTTAAAAAAATTGTTCATATGAATACAAAAAAATTGCAGATGCAAATATTTTGCATTCCCAATTTTGAAAGATGAAGAGCTTTTGGAGATGATGAAGACTGTTGAAGAGTACTTGGACCATGATAATGATGCTGACCTTCTTAAGTTTCAAGAAGAATTCAAGTCATTTTATAAACAAGTTGTTGATATAGGAAATCATTAACTCTTCAATGAAGTTCAAAAAAAGGTTGAAGAAAAATTTGATTATGTTAGAAAGTTGTTTGAATTGTTTCAAAGTAAAATTATCACAATGAAAACCAAAAGCAAGAAACTTAAAAAAATGAAAGACAATCACAAGATTTTTCAAAACTAGATAATTCATAACATGTTGAACGAAATATATATGATATCTATTTTCTTGGAAAGATAATGTTTACTTAAAAAGTATGTTGTGTTGAACTCTACTGATGAGGTAGCATGGAAAGGAAATGGTCAATTGTATGGGTAGAGAAGTCGAGGAAATTAGCCTCCATAGGAAGCGTGTTTGGTCATGGGTGCAACTCTAACCATGTCCGCAATTCAGAGTCATCATGAAACATCAGCGGAGTCATTCAAATACCACGAACACGAAAAATCTACATTTGAATTCTTATCACAGCTCAAGCTATCACTCATACTTGAAGATTGCAAAGGCAAGCTCTCTCTGGATCTATCGTCAATTCTCTTCCTTTTAGCTAGCTCCAAGTGTGTTCGTTTTTCATACAAGATGATACTTACCTCACATTCCCAACTCCTTGCACGCCCGTTGACGACGTCGCCCTTCTCTTCCAGACTTTTTAATCCCCCCTCGTGTGACTCCTGACACACCATGCGATGATTTTCACATATCAAGATAAGAATGCAGCTTCCGTCATTTAATGTACTCTCTTTCTCCCTCTCCCTTTCAAACATATTTGGCTTAATTATAATACAACAATATTCGTGCGAATACTCATTATATGCGTCTGCAGACAACTCTTCAAGGAAATAGTTAATTAAAATCATTTCACTTTGACTGTCTATGCAGTATTTCTTAAGCCTTACATTTCGTCCTGCTCGTACAAGCCATCCACGACATTCTTGAATACAGTTGTATTTAAGTTCACTCCTTGTCTATAGGTTGCAACTTCTATCCCATCGACAGATTCTTGGCAAATATCCTGCTATACAAACAAACCTGCCACAAATCTCTGCACCATCGTACACTCATGCATATGTGCAGAGGTGGTTTGCGGAGACTTCCCTTGGCACCAGACATCACGGGCCTCTAAAGATTTTGAACTTTCTGCACACGCGGCAGCTCTCTTGAACTACGGGTGGCGCACAATGGTGGACACTGCCACGTATCGTAGCATCCCACGCCAGATCGACATTGAACACTCCGTGGAGTAACGAGATACGCAGTTGGTGCATGCTCTGCATTTCCTTCGATGAATGCAGGTTACCTGATAGTTTCCATGATACAGTAGCAGCATGTCAAGCAATGTCCGACGTCAGTCGAGAAAGCTCTCACAGCCATCTCTCTTTCAACGAGTCTCCGCTGTCAAAATCTGCAAAATCAATTTGGGCAGCCGCAGTAGAAAGCAGAGTGCTCACCGTAAGATTAGATTTCTGAATTGAGAGCTTTCTTTGACCAAGAGCACGCTCAGGATGGATTCTTTGAAGGACGCGGCGGCGAAAGTCGGCGACAAGGTTTCTAATGCTACGTCGACGGACAAGTCGAATTCTGCTGGGGAAGGGGTAATCTTCGAACGAAGCGAACCTACAAACCGTCAGAACTTAGCAACCAGAAAATTTGGGCTGTTTTTAAATTCTGTTGCGTCTGAGATGCTAAACTTATTAGCCTTACGAATTCGTCGATCATTTTGCAGCAGCTTATCTGTTTCTTCGATAGTCTTGTCAGACGTTGTAATTTGCCCACTGTCGAGTCTATCTTACCTTTTGGATACATACATGGCTTGATGCTGAGTACTGGAGGACGGGCTTTGAATCAGCGGGCGCGGCTGGAACCTGGGAAAGTTTCGCTATTATGTCAAATTAGATGCAGTGACGTTGTATTCGTCGTTTGAATTCCACGTTCGGACAGGGTTGGCAACCTGGATTGAAAGTCCTTGCACATTCTGATAACAATAGTCAGCGGAATAATTTCGAAGAAAGTAGATGCGTACAGGAGGAGTTGATCTATCAATGCTTTCTGTTTTCTATATTTTCTGGTCGGTGGCGGAGAACCTGATGATAAAGTAGTAAGTACATACATAGCTCGGAAGGTAACGAAGCTTAATGTACGAAAAATGGTTACTATGATAGAGCTGTGCTGGAGCCGGCCAGATCCTTTTATTCGGGTTTTGGGGTACCTCTCAGCATGCAGGCCTTTATCAGATCAGTGAAAGGGTTTGTGCTCTCTTTTGCCACAGTGTGATTCTCTATCTCTGTGGGTCTTTTTATGACTATTGAGTTAATTAATTCATCATATCATCGAACTGATTTGACCAACATCGGACTTTTTTGAAAGCCAGGTTGAAAGGAATGCAGAAGACTCTAATTATTAGAACACTTACTGGTTTCCATTTTTATATCGACCTATTCGACTCTGTAAAGTTTGTGGTAGTCTGGTAGAATTCTGGAGTATGAACTTACGAACCCACTGCTAACATTGCAAAAATACCACTGGAATGTTTACCTTACATGTTTCAAAGATGGTTTGCGGTACGATAATCAGATTTCAAAGCTGTAGCAACAGGCCGTTTACCGCGTGTTTGCGTCCTGCCTTGGTGGGAAGCTACTGCTAGGTGCACGTGTTGATACACGTGTAATAGCACACGGCGTAATAGCCGTGTGCAATACACCAAATTCGTTTCGTTGTAAAATCTGGGAGAGATTTTCCCGGAGTAGACATTGTTAGTAGGCGTGCAACCTTATACGAACACTTCGCAGGTTCGGCGATTTTCGAGGACTTCAAGGTCTTTTGATAGAGATTAGTTCCAATTTATAGGCGTCTTCGTACTGCATCTATCTGGTGTTAAATTTATGTTGATAGTCTGGAAGTTGTTGTATTTGCTAACTAGGGCTTTACAAACAGAAGGGATACTCCATATTCCAAGCAAACTGATTTTTACCTCGTGATTGTAGGATGCCCATCAGAAGACAACGGGATTTGGCAAGTCTGACAGTGTGGATACAGCAGGCAGACCGGACGTCACCGACACTTACGGTAAGCTACTCTTTTTCGGTATAACCTGCTTGAATTTGATGTGGATTCACCATATAATGCAATCTCCTAGTGATTGAGTGGAAGAATGTTTGAGGTTTCTCGTATCCAATACATTAGCTTTGAGAACCATGGAAGGCAATGGTGTAAAACAACGGTGATACCAAGAACTACAAACTCCTATAAAATAGTGTGCCGAAGAACAATGTTCGGAAAAGTTTCGATACTAGGCTTTAATTCAGACAATCCATGTACCTTAATTATAATGTGTGGTACCGTATGGGAAATTTTCTAGACTTGAGTTGCGGACTATAGGATTCTCTAAACTTCTCCCAGTTTGAGCCTGCGATGTATAAAAAGAGCTGAAATTGGACACCTGGTAAACTCACAGATAATGTCATTCTAAAAGTATGGAATCTGCGATGTACATGCAGGTACTCACCCGAAAGAGAAGGCTGCAAGTCTTGTGTCAAATTTAGAGAAGCTTGGTGGTAAGCCAGTCGCCAATTAGTTACCTGTACATGCAGTACGAGTTTATCACTAGATCAGTTGCTTGTGAATACATTGCAGTAGAGAATCTGATTAGGGTTCTGATAGTCGTGCAATTCGATCGTTGTCTCCCAAATTTAGGATTCCAAGTCTGGCTGTTACTTATCTGTCAGGATAAACCAGGACCTTGTAGAAGTCATTTCTGTGTAATTTTATGGTCTTCTCTATATTTTACTTTGAAATTACAGATCCAATTCTTTCCTTGCTCTTCTTTTGTCTTCGATTTATTGGGATTTTTCGAGCATCAACGATAAATAGGAATATGCTTTCTGTATGAGAAAAAGAAAAGCAAACAGAACACTTTCTTCATGCCATAAATTAAACGCGGCTTAGTTACCAGGCACATAGAGTATTAATGCTGAAATTGAGTATGGCTATCATATCAGAAAGAGAATAGCAAATACAGTTCTCCTTACAAGACATGGAACAACGCTGCAAAACGTACCAGGCTCTGCGGGTTTTTCTCTCTTCGTTTAAGTCTACAGAATGCAGCTTGATGAGGTCCGAACAGTCATATCCAAGCTGTACGTTTAGGTTATTCTGCTTCGCTTAGCTGAACAACATTCCTTCAGTTTGCTTCAGTTGAGAACTTGTATTCGAAAAGGCGATCACAAAGTCTCCTATTAACCTAATCGCATGCATATATAAATATACATATCAAAATATAAATCAATAACATATCAGCTTTTCTTTGGTTATCACGCACGAGGTTCTTACTTACTTTATTTCTTTAAAAGTTCTTGAGATGCCGTTTGCCGCTCAGTTCTTGTGTCTAAACAAACGGCGAGGAAGTCTAGCATACGTCTCTTGTTCCTGGTGCATTTGTACCTTGGATACTGGGCTCCCTTCTACTGGCTGGAAACCCAGGGCTACAACCTCCGATTGAAGCGTGAAGTGTCATGATTCCTTCAGGCCGACGGGATTTTGGTGGTAGTGGGGGAGTTTTATACAACTACGCTTTTCACTTTGAATGCAGTCCCTGGATTTTTATCTCGTATTCTTAGATCCAAGTTTGCACACCTCTTCCCGTAGCACCCGTTCCACAGTGCTTTCATGCTTTGAATTTCGTCTCTCCTGGTTATATATGTGTACATGTGTGGTATTTACTCTCAATACAGACATCGGCCTTTGAATTTTTTCAGGTAGGTTGTATGCTTATTCTCTAGTCAAAGCAATCCTCACTTAAAGTACTAACTTTGTGACTAAGTAGCAGGCACTACTTAGTGACATACATTGGTTCTATAGTTTTATGTCATTATTGGGAGGTGTCACTAGCACCAGTCGTCGCGGCGCGGTTTGACCCAGCGATTATAGCATGCATAGCGTCGCACTTGTGGTTCGTGGAAAACAGGATAATATTTAATGAATCATGTAGGAGACATTCTTATTGTATATTTAGCGGATCATTTGGCGGTTCAAATTTGAACTTACATCAACAATGATCAATGAGATTATAGTTATCTGATATTCATGATGAGAAGATTTTCAATACATAAGATTTCATACTTGCCTATATATCAGCAATTTCTCCTATATAAGATTTTTGAAATTTCTGTACTCTACTGTATATAAAAAGTTTTTACTACTCAAAGAATTATATGGCCCAATCGAGAAGTAATTTTTCTCGTTTGAGAAATATTAGGAACCAATTCTGCTTGGTAAATTTTGCAAAACTCTCTAGATTACAATGGTAGTTATAATCAACATGAATATCAATTGTCAAAATTGAATTTTTCTATTTTTCCCTTGACTTAGAAATTTGAGCTGGTTGAAGAGCCCAAGATTCTAGTCGAAATTGAATTTTTCAATTTGTCCCTTATATAACTCGGAATATCTCAATGCTAAGTGTTTGGATCACACTGAGCACTAACGCCATCCTGGAACAACCTTTGTTCAAATGATGTGCAAAGTAATATCAATTTCGGTAAGATATGTTTCATCGCGAAATTCAAAGCACACTTCCTTAACTTATGCTCTGAGCATAAAATCAGAAAATTTACGTATTTTTGGGACGTATTTAGACATATATTTGACGTATATCAAGGAAAAGTAGCAGATGATAACAAGAGCAGTTAACATTTGACTCATTTAATCTTCTCATAATATAGTTACAATCATGATTCAACCTCACTGGAAGCATAGAAAAAAAAATAGAATTCTAAATCCGAAAGTTTTGAACTGATAATTTCGATAATTATAATAGTCATTAAAACTCCATTATGTTACTATTGAATCTTCTCATGTCACTATTGCCAATAGTGACGTACGGTTTTTATTGACCAGATTTATACATTAGAAACTAATGTTTCCACACTTTAATGTCACTATTGGGAGTTTTAACTCTATACTGGAATTGGACTCTATTCTTGGCACACCTTTCAATTCCAGGTATATCCCGGCCGCTCGTGTATGTTTGTACTGGTTCTTGCTACACATATAAACACAAAATCTTGCGTATAACACCTCGCTCGAAATGCGCACATCGGAAGTATTGGAATATATGCAAATTCTCATAAATGGGAGCTCTGGTACACCATCTATGGTAACATTTTCTAATCTTATTTATGCTGGTGGAACTTGTAGACAAAAAGGGACAATATGAAGAAGCTCTGCAGGGAAAATAATTTAGAGTAAGTGAGAAACGTCCAAAGCAAACGTAGAGTTGACACACAAGCACATTCGAGTTTCAATAATACTTAGTAGGTAAAATTATAGCCTGATATGTATATGAGCAATACGTCTCGGATTTTCCATCGTGTCACGCTAGGATACTTTCTCGATCTGTTGTCGTGACTCAAATTTGTTGTATCGCTTAAGCACATCCAGAAGACACGCAGTCTTTGCACTGAATTGCTGGAAGTGCCTGTTAAATACAAAATCTGATGAAAGATCTTTTTCTTGACTAATACTCGTCGTCAATTCTTCTCACGACAGTACTCTGATTTTCAACAACCAGCAACTGATTTTGTTGCAAAAGTCAAGATGCGTAGATTGTCACAGTATTATGACGGAGCTTTTGATTCTGATCTCTGAGCAGTAAAATTTCGCAATCAGAGTTCCAGAGAATTCTTGCACTTCTCGTGAGGAAGGAGGCGCACCGGACTGCAGTTCTTTCTCACTGATTAAGCTTGTCAAAGTGGATGAAGTCTAACTAGGGAGTAACCTGAAGGCTGGACAAATTCAACCCTGCTTAAACAACAAAATAGCTTACCGCTAAAAGTTTCAGAGGCGATAATAAAAATATATACCACGCAAATCAATATCAGAAGCTCCGCTGAAGTTGCGATAGTTGACCTGAAAGAACGAGACCTGTGTTGCATCGAAGAGCAAGCCCAGAGGACGACGTGGGCCAGCACAGGCTACGGAGAAAGCTTCATGAAGCCATAATATGCCCACGCTAAATAGCTTTCAACCGGACACCAACGCGACGATGTAGGAGAGTAGAGACCAGCCGATCTCATAAATCTTCAAATCCGATCGCCGATAAGTGGAGTCACGTCTAGCCGTGAGAACTGCAAAGCGAAGGAAACCTTCTCCCGCCTCGTTCACTCGAAAGACGAAGGAAGTGGTTGGAACTAGGCTCAGGCGAGCTGACGGGAGCGGTTGATATTCATCGCGGACCGCTGCACTTGATTGCCCCACTAGCGCACCCACCCGCATTCAAATTTTAAATTGATCCGGGCTGCCGAGCACGCGGCGGGGAATTTCAGCGTGGCTCCATCCGTCGCAGGCAAAAGCGCCCCGAGTGGGCCTGCCGTGTCCCGCTAACGTGCAGGCTTCTTGTTCTTTGCAGGGACACCGGTGGTGAGGGTACAATGACGACCCGGAAAGATGCTCCGGATGCTCCACCCTCGTGCTTCTCTGGACGCTTACATTATCAGACTCCGATAATCTCCCCCCTCCGTACCTCTCCCTGTCCGCTAATGGCCCGCGCCCGAAACCCTAATATCTCGCATCCCCTGTGGCTTCAGCCCCACCACGCGGACCGGCCCCGGTTCCAGCAGCGGCTCGCAACCGGTCCCGCTGTCCCAGAACAGGAGACTGAGGATCGCTTGCCCGCTCTGGTCGGGGACTCGGATCCGAGATTGGCGGGTTGCTTGTTGCTCACGGTGCTGCGCTCGGGACCTTAGATATTTGTTCGGGTCATGGCAGGGCATCTGATCCGGTGCGTGCATGAGTCTTTTAATGAGCCGCAGCGCCGGTGCGGGTGGAGCGGACGGGCCGAGTACAAGAGGCCATTTGCCGACGGGTCTCGGTTCTTCGGTTGGAGTGTGTCGTAGCAGCGGCGGTCGTGACAGGGGCGGAACTCTCGCAATCTGTCAGCCTGCGGCACGGACAGAATTCGTCCAGGGGCGTCGTGTCGACCATCTGTAGCCGAGCAGACGCAAGTGATAGTAACAGTCGTCACGTAGCGGTCGACATTATCGTCGCGGAGATCGGACGGGGACCGATGTGAAGGTTCGGACTGTGAGGGAGCTGAACGAGAGAGAGTTCGTGGATGATTCGGATAGCCTGACAGGTGAAACTCTCCTCCGGCAGTGGTGGACGCTGTCGGGTTAGATGGGCTGACACGGAGGTGGAGAGAGTAGTGTTATGCGGCAATTTGCTCATCGGCACATTCATCGGTTCGTGCAGGAGCTGGGGATCCTGGTAGCGCGCACATGTCGAGTTCATCTAGTCCACCGCATGTCGGACGGGCGAGGCGGTTTTGGTAAGGAGATCGGTCTGGGGCCTTGACGCTGCATGGATATTACTGGGGAAGTCGCGTCGTTTATGTCGCACGGGTGGAGCATATTCGGGAGGTAAGCGGTTTATGTGAAATGTTCGCTTAATGTTCGGAATGAATCGTATTTGTCTGACTGATAGTTGTGAAGCTCGAGGTACGAGGTGCGGACATATCCAGGATTAGAGTGTTTGATGTCTTCCAACTCTCTGACTGAGCTGGGTAACAGCTCGAAGATTGAATTTGAATTCGAGCTCGAGATGCTACGACACATTCTGTGGCAGCTCTGCGTGCGTGTGGTGAGCTCCAATGTATTGCTAGCGTTGCAGATTCCTTAGGCAAGCTCAAGGTGAGGTTCTCCTGCATAACCCATGGGGCTAAAAGACCCCTCGTACACCAGAAATGGTGTCATCTGTGTATGCAGAAAGATGACGCTTTGGGACGTGAGAGTACAACACTTCGGGGATGGTAGCCACCTCTCAGACCCCACAGGTAGCTGTGGACTTAGGCACCGTGCCTTCAGATACGTTAGTGTGGAGTCCCCGGGGTATAGATATCTTCATTGATCTAAAGATTCGTCTTAGTAACGAGGAAAGTGTCCAAGCACCCACCATCGGCACAGAAGACAGCCCAGGGGATTGCGAAGGAGGATTATATGTACCGTCGAAGCCTGCCACCAACATCCTAGAGGGTGATTGTAGTAAACAGCGGGGAAGAAATGTCGAAGACCTTGTGCTCTTCGGCGGGATACACCGTTCTTTTGGCAGTGAAGCAGGCGACGAGATCCTGGATTCCGAAGGAACAGGTGTGACGGGTGACGCGAATTGTGAGATCACGGCATCTGTTGATGTTTTGTCGGACGACACGAGTTATGAGAATACAGCCAAGGTGTCGTCAAAGGTAGCGACCATCGGTGATACTGAATCGGCGTCAATCTTATCTTCGAGGGGAGGAACCGACGGGGATGGCGACATCACTCCCGTCCCCGTCTATGACTCATGTGTGTTCGGAATCGAAGGCCTAGATATAGACGACATCTCTGCAGCATGTCAGCTTCTGGAGCTGGGAGTCGAAGATGTCGAGGAAGAAGATGACGCCCATGAGAAGTGGGCAGCAAGTCGGCTTTTTGAATTGTGTGCCTACTGCCCCGACGACGAAACAGACGATGCCGACGAGCGCTGGAATAACTTCCATCGGCGTGCAGCGTCAGGCGAGTTATTAGCTCCCAATGAGCCTTATTGTACAGATCTTGCGCTCTACACTAGAAAATTAGGACGAGGAACCTTCCATTCCTGGAACGCACGGGAGATTAGTGAGGATTTTTCCAGCGATCTCAGAACGTTGAACTTGAAGAGGATCAAACCCAACAAAGATTCCAGCTACAGGGGGCTTGATAGCGATGACGACTGGGACATTCTGGATAGGCCACCCCACAAGCGTCAGTACAAATCTTTGCGGCAAATGTACTATCACAACCCTTGGGGCAGCTAAAGCCACCGATGTAATCAATGGATCAGAGTTCAACCTTCTCGTGGCTCCTTGTCTGCAGAGACATTGTAAGTACGATTCGTGGAGTGCATGTGTTCTATCAATTGGGGCCACATGCCAGTCGTCCTCAGTAGCGCTTTCTTCAAATTTGAAAATGTCAACTGACCGTGGCTCACCGTCTTTCTTGCCGCCTCAGTGGCCCCGTTCCGTTCCTTCCAACGCCCCCGGAATGCGGAAAAGCCCCCACTTCACATAGTGCGTACGATGTCATGATCCCTCTCTTAGCGAGATATCGTCAGTTCGTTGCGCAGGAAAGTATTTTCTCGAATCGATCGTGTTCAGCCCAGAGGATGTGCACTTGAGAGAGCAATTACATTGATCTGACTATGCTATCAGAGATTTTGTCATTCGGAGAACCCGAATTTGTAAATTTGACACTGCAGGAAATAAACTCGCAGCGGCATGCACTTTGTCTGCCTAGATTTGAGTTAACTAATGGCCCGGGAAACGTATTAAATACCGAGAATTCCTCCAAAACTTAGTACTGCATCCACCGAAGAGCGGGAATGTATTGGGGACGCATGTAATCTAGATGTGCCAAATAGGGTCAATGGCAAAACGATCAAAAAACTTCTATCGACTGTCAAATTGTCCACGAGAAAATTGAAACAGCTACACCACCAACGAACGCCAGCTCTATTAACTATTACGATTTTAGCTACCCGGACCTCCGTACATTATCTCAACAGAGCAAGTCGGGTGCTGTAGCAGCACGATCAGAGAGGTCAAGTCTAATTTGCACAGAGTTTTGGAGAAAGCCATGGAAGTAAGTCAGCTGCAAGAAAGGAAGAGAAACGCCGAAACTCATAATTGTGCTTCGTCATCCTGGTGTGTCTCTTTGTCAAAAGCATCACATGAGCCGCCTTCCGGCCAATCATTGGTTCAACAAGAAGAGTTTCTCGCCTTCTTCGCATCGTACATCACCTCCGTTGCTTCTTCTTTCGCCAGACAGCACTTCCTCACTGGCATGCCTGAATTAACCAAGGCACGCAATTCGTTCAACTGCTAGCGACGGCCTTCGAAGAGCAACGCCTTCAAATCCATGTCAAAAGGCAGTACATGGATTCTGTATCTAACTTCGAAGTTAACTTCCTGTGAAACGGAAGAGAGCATTACATGGTGGGCACTGCGACCTGCCCAGCATGTGCAAAAGTCGACGTACTGTGACAACATTATCTTGCTCACCGATATATTACTAGCTTTTGGTTTAGATGAAGAAAGTGATGGACTTCCACATGACGTTGAATATGCGATTTATGCATGCAGGATCGAACCAAGTTCCGGTCGAATTGCGAATTCCAATTAGTCAATTTCTGGACCTCAAGCTTTGCGTACAAGCCCGGATGAAGCCGTCGAAGCACAGAACTGCAGAACACAACAAGCAAAGCGTTTTCGTGTCCAACTGACTGCGATATAGCTGAACACGTGAGTTGTTTAATTGCACTTTCTTTGGCGTTCACCATCGGTCAGCATCGCAGTCTCCGTTCTCCGATTTAATCTGTGGCCTGTAGCTCACATTCGCATTTGGAACGAGGAGAATTTGGTAGCTGAAATACAAGAGAAGAGATCACCTTGCTCTGGCTTCTGATGGTGACAAACTCTAGAGGTGAATGATTTACTGGAAGTGGTTCCGCCGAGCGTGAAAATCAGAGCTCTCCTACAAAGATGATCTCAAGGGTTCGTTCTGCTCATGCAGTATTCAACCAGATCAATCGAGATCGATTCACCTCTAACTATAACTATTAACTGTAACAATGCATCTTATTCTTCTTTCAATCGTCGTCGAAAACTTGTGAATTCTCCATCCGTATATCGCCATGCCATCTCACAATATCCACCCATCGCCAAGAATTTCTGCCACTCTCATCATCATACTTTACATTTATGTACAGCACCTAATACACGCACGTATGATACACAGTGTTCTTTGGCTGTTCCTGGTCAAACTTCGAACTTGTTTAATTTGTTCTTACACCCAAAATTACAGTGATGTGTGTATTTGTCCTGCAATGCGGGTGGGAGATGACGCAAAATGAGAAGTAGCGAGGATCGAAATGAAACCACTGAAACCCATCTTGTGGACTCCCCTCTCTATGGCTGATTTTGGATGCTCAATCAGAGAACGTAAATAATGTATGTTCACTGATTCTGCGACCCAGAATAGCTTTTCCAGATTTCGTGGGCTATATGCAACCGGACCCAAAGCGTTGTCTGGTCCCAACCAAGGTGGCGACAACTTTCTGATATGGGGTCCAGCCATTCTAGTGACCGAGATAACTTCGAGGAGGTCGTTGCTTAGCATGCTCCTTGCCGCACTATCACGGGCTCCTGATATTGTCTCCTCGAGGTCACTTCGAGACGGGCGTCTTACATGTCCAGTGCTGGTTGGGGAACACGGCGGGATTGTGACGTTGTCGGCTTTGTGCGCCCACAGTTCTAGCGCTGCCGAGTGTTTTGAGGGAATCCGCATCTCCACCCATCCCCGTCCTGACTCTGCGGTTCCAAAGACGGCTCTGGGCACGATCCTTGATGAGGGAGGGATGATGTGTAGCGTCGTATTGTTTGTTGTTCACTCCTTTCGGTGCCAGATGTTTGTCACTTCGACAACAATCAGGTGTTGAAAAATTGACGATCCACCATCCCCGCGGGTGGCATTATGTGAAGAATTTCTTTCAAGTCCTTGCAACATCGAGACACGAGCCCATTCGTTGTTCATTCCTGGTTCATCGACCTCTCTCTAGTTATCAGTCGAAAAGAGGTTTTACGACACTACTGAGTATCAGGTACTGTAAAAGCGTAAAAATGATACCGACGACGTTCACTTCTCTCTTTTCTTTTCTTTTCTTTTCTTTTCTTTCTAGCATCCTCGTGCTAAACGCCAAACTTTTCGACAGAAAGGAAGTTCACTACGTTAGACCAAGATATGGTGACGAGCTTAACTAGCGGCCACTGGGCTCAAAAGAAGTTCACTAATTTACGAGGATATGTCGGATATATGCACAAAGAAGGGATTGTGTCCCCAATACAATTCTTCGGTACGTCAGATAATCGAGATAGGGATCAAAGTTTCAGAAAATAAGTGAAATTCTTTATTATAATGAGTTATTGGGAGCGGTTAGTTATTCATCATTTAGTATTAATTAGCATTCATTCTACTAAATGCAATTATCTAATTGGTTCATCCCGGGTCAGTGGATGAATAGCAACTACTTCCAAAATAGAATGTTCGAACAATCAGAAAAGAACCTATGGTAAAGTGAGGCTTTATTAACTCTAAATGAGTGATAACTATCCACTCTTAAGTTCTTTAATTTCCTTGATAACTGATTTTCTAACTTATTTGGCTACATGCATGTGGCTAGCGGGCATGAGGGGCACATGCCTAACGAACGGTCTGTTGGGTCTCACTCAATGCAAGTACATTAATCAATCCTCCAATGGATTATCTTACAGCGACTGGTGCCAACATGGTTCTAAGGTCCTGGGATTTGCCAGAACTTCAAACAAATAATTCCTAATTTCCATACGTGTAGAAACATCCATATCTTCAGATTGATAGAGTGATTGCAAAAGCCATGAATTTCTAAACTTTAATTTCATTCGATGGATAAACTTACTCTTGCCACTAACAACCAGCCAATATGATGAGTGGCACTTGCTATAGTATAACGACGTAAGTTGGGTTTTGATTTTGGCTCTATGTATGCCATGGGTTTTTATCATATCCACAGGAGTTAGAGCTTTTCCGGATAGATGTTGGGGTCGTTACCTTTAAAGATCATATAATTCATTGAAATTACATGATGAACTCATCTTCTACTACAATCTTACGAAGATCCTATCGTTTAAGATTTCAGTGAAGGTTGGATTCAATTCAGATTGGTATACATGCAAATTCTGACAGAAATTGTTTTCCTCTGAAGAAATCTCTTGCATTCCTAGAGAACCTTTCCTGGACATTTTCTCTAAAATGTTATAAAAAGTCAGGAAAGTTCTTTTGTTTGTCTCTTGGCTCAACACTTTATGACGAGAAATAGAGGACAGACAGCTACACACTTTTAATGTGTTTTTCAACTCAGTATATAATCAGTATTCTGAACATTTCTCTTGATGTGTGAAATTGGCAATCTTAATTTACGATGTGCATGGCACTGCTCTCAGTAGATAGATACAGAAAGAAAGTCCACGAAGTAAAATCGTCGAAAGTCTGAATATGAAAATTGAAATTTTCATTCTTCCTTTGAATATGAAATATTCAATAAGTCATGAAATAAAAACATAAGTTCACGTTTTCCTCGTGCTTGAAAAGAGGATAATAAGTACTCAGTTAATTGTTCGTATTAAGGACTCCACTTAGAAAAAGGACTTTCTTCAAACATCTATTCCTTCATAGAAATTTTCCGCAGTAATCTTCCGACATTTTTCATGGTTTTTTTTCATGTTTAAGACAAATTACGTAGACAGACTTTTTATGTCCACATCCCACGAGAACACGCTAACCATGTACAATATACTAAGAGGAGTATTGATAATCAGAGTTCACCTAAACGCTGTAGGTTCTTAAATAACCTACATGTTTTGTGTAGATTTGATGAGTTTCGTTAGCAACTAATGTTGTTGTCTTCAACTTTTTCAGCTGGTATAATAAAAGCCTTGTTGTTGAACAACTTCATGATCATTTCTTTTTATTTGATAACTCGGAGTTCAAGCTTGATGTATTGCACCAGTATTGCAAAAAACTAACAAATGATGATCTCTTTATCCGCGTGACTTGTATTTTGAACAATCTTTGGAATCAAAAGTTAGCTGCTATATTTTATCTGTCCTACTTTACCCAATTACACTCTTGTGTCATTTCTACAGAAGTTATCGAGGCTGTTGATAGAGCTCGAGGGAAGACTCTGTGGTAACCTATAAAAGCTTCCGTAAAGTTATAGAGGTCCCCAAGGACATTATGATGACACCTTGTAATCTCCATGAAAAGGTTGATGTGAAATTTACATGCTTCCAATCACATGATAGCTTAGAGTCACGCCATGGATGTAATCCAAGACTGTCTTCTTTATACTAGGTTATTTAGACTATCTATTTATGATGTAGGGAGATGTGTTTATGAACTTGGTGTGACCTTGTGCAACTTGAAAATTTGTTGATCTTAGCACTGATCTAAGTTGATGATAAAGTGCTTGAATCTAAAAAATATATTGTATCTAACAATGGCACATGGATGCATTGCAAAAGTTTGGCGATGATACCAAGTAAATTTAACTTTAAGAAATCCAAAATGATAATAATGTTCACGAAGGATTGTTCGTTGTTCAAATATCAAGAGCCAGGAAGGAAGGGTTGGTTTTATTGATCTTTATATTGGAGAATATCTCCATAAGTGGACTTTCGACAA